GGGGGGGGGGGGGGGGGCTCCTGCTTCGGAGTGAGGTTTCGCTTACCGGTTGGCATATCCGCTCTGACGATCACCTGTTTTCCATCGCCCTCATGTGACTTCCTGCAGACAACGGAGACGACAATCGAGGGTCGTTGACACACCTTCCGTTATAACTATCTTGGCCGAGCCTTGAGATAAGATGCTGGCTCTTGCAAAATATAATCCCTTTTGTTCCCGCTAGTTTTAGTCCCCCTCTTAGTTCGAATAATCACTGCGACTGATTGTCATTGACGGATCATGTTGCAGAGTGACAAAAAAAAATTAAGTCCTCAGTAAACTGTATAAGGGGGCGAACAAGGGAGTAGCCCCAGTTTGTAACAATGTTTGAAATGAACTTGCCTCGGAGGGAATTTAACGTACGGGAGGTTGGGTTGAGATGTTAGTGAGGCTGGAATTGGATATTCATGGTGTTTAGCATATCCATGCGCAGTCTATTTGGGTGCGTTATTTGTATTGTGCGATTTATTTGATCTCATGGTAAGGTCAAAGAGACGTGCTGCCATTGTGTTCGTGTGTTTAAATTCCACGAGAATGGAGATTACAAATGCAGTAAGGCATCGGATTTCTTTTCCTTTTCCTCTCATCTGTGTGTGATTGTACGGTGTTGATTACTTCGTGTGATCACTCTGTGTGATTACTTCGTGTGACGACTTCGTGTGACCACACTGTGCGACTACACCGTGTGACTACGCTGTGTGACTACGCGGCGTGATTACATAGTGTGACTGCGCTGCGTGATTACATAGTGTGACTGTGCTGCGTGATTACATAGTGTGACTGTGCTGCGTGATTACAGTGTGACCGCATTGAGCGACTATTTCGTGTGACTGCATGAGCACATGAGCGCCTGGGATTACATGTGCTCGCATGATCGAATGCCTGCCAATAGCTGTAAGAGTTCACTTGTGGCATGGAAAGGATCGAGTGCATAAACACACGATCATACATGTTCCCGTGTGAATAGGAAAAGGCATGTTTGAAGGTGCCGCAAACCTGGTGAGCGCAAGTAGGTACGCATGTCTGTTTTGGCTCGTCGGGCATGTTCTATAGGTTCTCATCCCATCCCTGCCTCTTCTAAGCAAGTCTTGATGAGCTTTGGAGGAATGTTCTGATCACCGGCGTTGTTCGGCCTACCAAGAAAACTGAAAACGCTGAGAACGACGGAGAGATATGTAGCTCGGAGATTGGTCTTTAGCCCTGTGATAGCTTCTTCAGAGTGATCAGATCGAGCAGACATTTGTGCATTGCCAATCCCGCCTTTCTCACTGATTTTGATTCTTTAGTTGTTTCGATGGTCAACCGAAAACTGCTTCGGAATAGAGCAAAGGATACGAAAATCAGTGTCACTATAAATGTATGACCAAGTGTATTGAATTTGGCCTGGAGGATCTCATACATGTCAGATAGATAAGCATGATAATTTTATGAGTGCAAATCATTGACTGAGAATAGGTGGTCGGCTGACAGCGATTCGAATGGGGGGAGCTTATGATCAATCCAATCAGTTAAAGAGAACTTACTCTTACTTCCTTTATTTATTTATTTATTTAATTCGTTACTGTTATTGGGTTCACAACTCTGTCCGGGCGAAAACCCCAGCAGCGATTTCGATCATTCAGGGGATCAAAATGTGTACTAAGTAAACAAGCTTAGAAGAGTGGCTTACCTGTTCACACTCAATTGCGCCTTAAGAGAGCCTCTGGTGAGTAGTAGAGGTTGTGATTTGAGTGTGTTCTCTGATGGGCAAGAAGCAGTGCATCTTGAGGGAAATTGTATATCTATTGGCCAAATTCTTTAGGGATGGTGACTAGTGACTACTTTTTGAGTTGTTACTAATCTCGCCTTTCAAGGTCTGTATGGTGGTCTSTAACARGCTGTCTGAGCAGACGTCCGCCCTAGTGTCACGTCTGAATAAAGGGGGTTTCGGATGATCTCCCAGCACGGCGCATGCTCTTAGACTACTCCAGTGTATAGGGCTAAAGTAGGACAAAACYCGTCTGAGTCATATTTGAGACCGTGGTTATAACACTGGGGGAGTGCACGTCGCTTCAACAATGGTTGCCCTTGTCTGGCTCTGCTAACCGTGGAAGTCAAGAATGAGCYTTGAGTGTTACCCTGTATGTCGAAAGTTGAATGGAGCCAGCCAAAGGGGGTAATATCAGGCAAAGCCAATATTAGTTGCGCTTTGATTATCAGACAATTCAGACTCTGATAATTAGTTTCGAACAATCTCGATTCGAATTCAAACAATCCAAACGCAAACTGGACTTAGACGACCCTCCTTAGACTCAAGCGGAAGTCTGAAGGGCTGACAAAATAAACTCAGCAAACTCAAGTCAACTTAGAATTCGAATGATATTGGGCAAGACTGGTTAGATGCAATTTTCAAGTTCTGCATATTTGGGTTCAGACACGGTGAGAGAGCATGAAAGGTGGTGAGGTGCTAGTTGTGAAGTGTAGCTCTGTCAAAGACAAGAAAAGAGGATGGGAGGATGATGCGTGCCGGGATATGGAAGTGCGTAAACAGTCTCTGAGGGAACATGCGGTCAAGGCAGTAGGTGAGAGGAAATTCATAGAATGCGTGTTCTATTTTTATGACTGCAGCGGGAAGTTACATAGCACCGGCTCATGTCTAGAGACGGTAGAGCAGGCCAGGGCAAAGCTCGCGCAAGAGCAGCGACGTGTTCTTGAGTGACCTGTCAACGAGAGAACATTTGTTCTCAACAATCATTTAATCTGTTCTCAGCAACCAGTCAGTTGTTAGAAACAACACATCAGAGCAGGCAATCACAGCAGTAGCCGTCAATCGGTAACCAAGCAGCTAACAAACAACAATCAAGTCAGCAATCAATCAACAATTAACCCGCAGTCGATCAGCAATCAGCCAGCAAACGATATGCATTCAAATCAGTAAACAATTAAGCATTAAGACCGACGATCAAGAAGAGGTATTCAGATCAGAATTCAGACACAGCGTTCCGGGAAACAGTATTTTGGAATCCAGTACCCTTGACCATACTCAGATCAGTACTCAAACTCAACAATCTTAAACTGCAGTTAGAAACAGCAATCAGAAACAACTATTCGAAACAACAATCAACCCAATAGTCTCTTCACACCTATATCATCCGAGAGTCACCCGTTTCTAGTTGGGTGAACTGATGTAGTGGGAATTCGGTGTGAATGTGGAGAGCAGCAACACAGTTAGAGTCTCTTGCTTGCCGTATCAGAGCGCTGCAGAGACCTGGAGGGAGAGCGCAGTGGAAGAATACAATCAGCAGACAATCATGATGATGGAGCATGCTTTGACGCTGGTTAGGGACAATACCCGGATTGAGTACACTTATTATTTACATGACAAAAACGGTAAGTTGTGCACTACTATTACCTCAGTGGGCATTGTAGAGAAAGCAAGAAAGGTTGTCCGGGATTCTAAGTGAGACAAGTAAATCACCTACTTCATGATAAGAGAGATGCGTGTGTGTCTGGCGCAGTCAGGCTGTAGAGAGTTGGGCTAGACTTCAAAACAACAGTCTTCAGCATTCAGTTTTCAGCAAAGAGTTTTCAGTATTCAGTTTCTAGCAATCATTTAATCAACAATCAATCATCAGCAATGATTTGATCAGCAATCAAGTCAGAATTTATCAGCAGATATCAGATATTTTTCTCATGAGTGCAGTTGAATCCTTTCGAGTCAGCGAGTCGGTGCTGACCAATCTCAGTCAGTTTTTATGCAAAGAGGCATTCCGCTATCAGTATGCCAGTGTCATTGGT